CCCAAAAGTTTTTTTTTTTTTTTTAGGGAAACGCGAAGATTAGCTCGGTATAAGAAAGAGTGGAGGTGCGTGACCTTTTTTAGAAGCAAATTATTTAGTTTTTGAGCAGATGCTTCTTTTTATAAATACTTTAATATTATATATAAAAACTTTTACATTCAAGCAAAATCTTTTTCTTCGCTTTGAAGGAATTACTTAAATTTTTGGAAGCAAAAGGTAAGGCTTTTTTTTATAAATACTACATAATGCCATGTTGAACATCTTTCAAATGTTACTCCAAAATGTAAAAATGTTTAGAAAGGGCGTTACAATTAAACTGGGACCTCTGAAGTGCTAAATTCGCCCCTGGACAGGACCCAACCTAACCTAATCTAACCTGAAAATAGCCAGGCCTCTTGGGATGCATAAGAAACAATTCCATTTACTTTAATATCACCGAACGAAGGGATTAACTCTCCCAGTATGGTATTAAGAAGGGCTGATTTGCCAGCCCCAATTGGTCCAATCACTGCAGTAAGTTGACCGGGTACAATATTCGCAGTCAGATCGTTTATACAAACGTAATCACCGTATTTGACAATAATATTATTCATAAAAACCCCTTTTTGTAATAAAGCACCAACACTAAGCAAATCATTAGGAGTTACGCTTCGAAATATAGCTTGAGTATTCTTAGGATCCAACACAGATGGATCACCAATAGATGTTTCGTGAATTTTCATGAACGCTTCAATTCTTTTGATTGAAACATAAGCTTCAGCCACCTACAATTCATATGTTATTGACTTATGACGTTTAATCAATTTTTCAAGTTTTATATCAGACCTGAGCAACACCTTGTGGAAAATACACGGTCATGGTTTGCCTCAGTATGAAGTAATGAGCGACTATAAAAAACATTTTCGAAGCTGTTAACTTCCCCCCATACATAACATGCGACATACAACTCAAAAATATTCCGAGACGAGTGGTAAAAAGTATAAATGACATGAATAGACCTCGTATATACGAAGCCGGTTTAAGATACTTCATTTCTTCGCTGAAATTACAATACTTCAAACTGTATCAGATGATTTTACTTCATCTTATGGTTCACCTGCGAATTTTGTGGATCAATTTGGCCAAAGGATACTCCCAAGCGTACATTTTCAACACTTGCATCCCTTGTATAAACTCGTTGGTGTGTCTCAGCCTTTCGTCCGTTTGCACTGCCGTTTGTGCTCTGAATTTTATTATTTTAAATGCGAATATTACTGTAAAAAATACAGCAGTTTAATACATTATTTTTTATACATAAATTAAAAAAAAAAGACAAAAATTTTGGTATGCTAGGAAACAATAAATAGATTTATAAGTAAGAGTTATGCCTAACTAAAGGAAATAATTGATTTAGGGGGTGAGATAACTTATGGTGGAAAAGGCGCTAGAGATTAAAGACAAAGAAAAAAGAAATGGTTTTTGTATTCGAAATCAGTAATTTGTAAATTTGAAAAAGATTATGAAAAATATGGTGTGGTGTTATAGGATGTCAATATGAAATAAGCAAGATAAGTTGGTAGGACACCTCAAGGGTTAGTTAGAGACATATTAGAAGGAGAAATAGGAGTAAAGAGGGGTAGAGGTAGACCTAAATCAGATTACTGTTTGCAAACATGTATACGTTGCTCTAGTTTTCAAGAAATGCGAAGATTGACTCAAGATAGAAAGCACTAGAGGTGCAAGTCCAACCATTCTTCGGACTGAAAATCTTACGATTATGAGATATCTTTTACCTTGTATCGGGATAAAGATTGCAATCGATATCATACCAATAGCTGCCGCAATTTTGATTTCCCTCCATAAGCAATAAAAACATAATAGTGTTTGGAGGGGGCTCACCCAGATGTAGTGGAAAAACAAAGGGGTGATATCAAACTTATTTACGTCAATAGCTAATAAATTAACACAGTGTCCAACAGTTTCACCTCCCAAAGCTGCTATGTCTATCCTTAAGGCCTGAAGTTAAAATATTGTATGTAAACGATAATAAATGCGAATTATTTATTACTACTATAACTCGTCCAAATCTGTGCAGATGGCATCATTGCAAAACACATACATTTTAATCATAACTCAATATATGATCCTGACCGAATACTGATATTTAAACACGTCCAACACGTCAAAAAATTGGTGATTTTTCGATTATACAACAGCATCCTAGATGCAGAACTGTAGATATGTAGAATAATATTATATATACAGTTATAAAGCATTTTAAGCTTCTTATTGTACACCCTCGATTCGAATCAATGTAGAAGGAGTTATTAAAACAGTATACATATACTGGGTGGTTTATAAATAACGGAAAGTTTTAGAAATTCGATTACAAATGCCTAACTATATTGATTGACAAAGATATACACAAGATGTTAATCAGAAAAGTTAAACCATATCTACTTTTTTAATCATTCAAATACTATTTTCAATTATCAACTTTGAAAACGTAAATAGTACAAAAATACAAAAACTTTAACAAATACATATATAGTTAACGAAATATTCGGCAATTTTTAAAGTACTTGCAGAGGTTTTCATGTTTTCGTAATATTTAATCAAAAAAACCACTACCTTCAAAAAAAAAAAATTCAAAATTTTCAGACGTAAAATATTATCAATTAAAAGCAGTTAGAAAGGAGTGAAATGTTTTTATTAATTATGTAATTCCGCCTACGTTTCGCCTTTCGATCTAACGCGTTTTCAAGATAGTTTATTTACACCGGAAGGCGATGAAACTTCGGTGGAATTACATAATTAGGTAATAAGGAATATTTCACCCCTTTCTAACTTATTTTAATTGAAAATGTTTTAATACATAATTGGGGAAAATAGTACAAATGATAAATTTTATTTTAGTTTAGGGTTCGCAACATCAAAAAGACAAAATGGAGCCCTAATAGGTTTGTCCTTGTTCCTGTCCGCATGACCTTTTATAGTAGCCAATTATACGGAAATGAAACATGAAATTTGACGTACTAATACATCTTATTACCTCACGTATTTCGCATACTAGTTAGCAGCTTAGAATAATTACCTATTATGATTTTTTAGACTGTGTAGAAATATGTAAAAACATCAGTGTTAATTGACCTATACTAAAGGAAAAAGCTGTTTGCTAAATCACTGGAAATCCACAATAATTTTGAAGCTTAAACTTAAACCCTTAGTAAGTAAAAACCTCAATAACTCAAACTATTTTACGTTTCCCTTGGTCTTTATCTTATCGAGGTTCTACTGTATTCAGCCCTACCGATTTCTGATTTACTTGTGAAGTGTTGAAAGTTAGCAAATGTAAAATGGTTCGCACAATAACGCAGAAATATTTTCATTTTCTGCACAAGTGGCATGGCTGCTCCAGGTGTTTAGGGGTACGCGCCAAGAAAATGGTCCGTCAACCACACGACATTCTCCTCCTCAAATCTAAATAACGTTTTAAAATCTGATTCTCGTGATGTACGTTTTGATTTGTAGTATTTTATTGTACGTAAATGTACTATATCGGCCATAACGGGCACTACACTGGGACCACACAAGTAAAGATTATTTATACAAGTCGTTTTAGATAGATTTTAACACAAAAACGGTCCTACAAATACATCAATTTACGTTACAAGGATATGAGTTCTTCTGGTTTTAGGAAAACGCGGCATGGCCTAGAGGTCTAGACCATTGCTTAGCATTCGGGAGGACGCCGGTTCGATTCCGGGTCCGTCTGCCTTGGTCCAAGTTTTTCTGTGGTTTCCTTGGATCACTTAGGCAAATGCTGAGGCAGTAATATTCCACAGATA